CTCTTGTTATTTGATATCGGATAATTAATATTTAAATAATTCTTAAAATTCAAAGTACTGTTTATTATAATTTTTCTTAAATATTTTACAGACGCCTTTTTTATATAATATGCCTTTTAAAAGTCGAAAACGGAAATCGCGACGAAATGAAGTTGATTCAGTAATTATTAAAACTTAAACCTTTGAATAACTAACAAATTTTATAAGAAGCTTACTTTTATTTCAGGCACTAGATGCTCTACGATCTGATCCATCTACCCCTATTGTAAAAAAGCCACGAAATGCAAATAAACCTACTATTCAACCCCTTAATGACGATGTCAATGATATCGATGGCAATACTCAAAACTCTCCTTACAAAATTACCGAAAGTCCATCCCGATCCCCCCTCAATGAATCTTTTACTAATAATTTAGAAAACTTGTCGGTTGGTACCGAAAACGGTCAGTCTTAGGAATATAATAACGATTTATGCGATTTTAAATTGCAAGCACTAACTTTGAACTGAAATAGCTTCGAATGAAGAAAATAAAATGATGAAATCAATATTAGAAACAACTAAACAAGTGTTGACGCAAAATATTTCAATTATAGAAAAACAAAAAGCTCTTGAGGGTATGATTACTCAATTAGCCAATGATATCAAAACTTTACAATCTATACATGAAAACTTCAAGTCAAATATGGGAGATCGTGGTCATGAATGGTGGCAGGTATATGTAGCACATTCCAAATTATACGATAACGCTAGTACATAGAATCGATTTTCTGTTCATGTAGTTGATTATCCAATTTCGTTATATTATACTCAATAATTCTAATGTCAACCTGAACTCCAACAAAAGTTTTATGTTCAATTACGTGAAGAGAAGAACGATCCTACGTTATTGATAGCAGTTTTTGTTAGTTCCAGCATCGCTAATAATCGAAGGCACTATCAGATGGTTTTTCTATTTCGGTCTTATTGTCATTATTAATATTGGTATTTATATATTCAAAGTTTTATTTTAGATTCAGCCTTCTATTATTGGCGACACTGGGACTTTTCCAATTTTCTACTTCATTTAAACCTGAATGTGTATTGTGCTGACATTTTTTCTAATAATTGGTCAAAATTTTATTAATACCAGCTTGATTGACCATAATTCTGATAAACGGCATCTAAAAAAAAATTTTTTTTATTAATTTAGAAAGGAGCGATACAAGGAATCAAGAATGCCATAGATAATTGGCTTTATCCCAACGATAAAATCTATGAACAGGCTATTCGACAAGAACTCGAAACTCTTTGTCCCGATAAAATGGGCCGGTATAAGAGAGATGTCAAATGGGATGCGTTGTTTACTAAGATCGAAAATTCAGTAATTGATTTATTATATTTATTATAACTTATTTTTTTTCTTTATGTTATATGGCATGCAAGTATAATTTTTTAATATCCTTAACCTAATTTAATTATAGATTAGCACTGAATCCTGCAAATACCGTGGTGCTTTATTTGGATCCTTTCGACGTGCTATATTTGATCACGTTTTTAAAAAAAAAATTTCACCAACCGTTAATTCTGAAAGTTCAGAATCTGATATAATTGCTTGGAAAGAGAGCGGAGAAGTCCAATGGTGCTTGGAAAATTTGGATAGTATGATCGAAGAAGAGGATAAGACGTATCTTCAGATGATTGCAAAAAAAGTATTTGGTCGACAACCTACCCGAAACCAATATGCAGTGACAC